ATAACTAAGTTATGATAAATCTTTGGATTTTTTGACTTATTAATGAAATATATTTAGTAACGCATCTTCAGTATGTTAGAACTATCAATCGCAAAGCTGAATGAACCAGCTCGGCTTGACGCTGCCGCTGACTGCTGTCTAATCGGATTTATCATAGAATGCTTACTTTTTTGATTCTAATCGGATTTATAGTAAAAAGCTAATTCTCTAACAATAATCCTGTTGCAAAAACATCATCGAAACCCAACCAAATCTCCTCATGTACGTATTAGCAACTTGAACTAATGAGAAACAGTATGCATGCCGTAGCAAACCTGTTCCTAGTATTACCACGCAAAACCTTTAAACCTTAGCTTGACGAAAGGCTTTTCTTTTGAGGGACTTTTCTGGTTGAGGCTAAACCACCAGAATGGATTTCAACCAAGAAGCACTGTGGTTTATTGAGTAGATACATTTCTTTTTTTCAAATCTCCATGGATTAGCGAAATAGCGCACATCAGTTGATAACAAAGACGTTTCATTCAAAGAATTGAGTGATAAATCATCTCATAGTAAATTTCATCAACCACAGCTTTTTTATGTCAGTGGCAAATTCTGCAATTTAGTGACTTCAGAATTACGAGCACAAGTCACATAGTGGGTCTCTCGCTAGTTTAATAAGTTGTTTTTGAGCTAGAATTACAAGCATGAGTAAACATAATACTACTTTATTTTTTATCTAGCTTTCCAAATACGTAATGATACTTATTGACCATTACTTATTTGCGAAAGCTGCATGTTTGGTAAAGGTAATCCACCTTATAACTTACAACTTAACCATCTAGCATACTGGCTTATAATACTCATTTACTATTCTAAATCTTCTCAAAAACCGCGAAAAAATTTGATTCTGAAGAACTTTCCTAAATTCTTAGACGGTGCTAAACTTACGTTTGCCAAGTTTTATAAGTATAATATCCTATAACAAAAGGTGCTATCAGCAACGATGGTGTAATTTTTGTTGCCAGCAGTCTGCACAATTTTTCTACATCTTGTGTTATACGTTGATCTCTGAAATAGCAACTATCCAATAACAAAATATTGACCCAATCAGTGTATGAGAACAGAAACTCACGGATTATCGATTCCTTTATTGTCTATACTATTGAGAGCGTAATAAAGATTGTGGCCGAAGTACATTTGATGAAGTGATGTGACAAAATTTTTGCGGAAACTGAGGTAAAGGCACCATGAAAAGAGCGCTATACCAGCTAGTAACTAAAATAATTTTTAAATAAGTTGTTCTTTTCTTAAAAACGGTTTGAGTTACCAACCACACATTGTCCAGTGAATATACCAGTGGCAATAGTGAAAGTGTTCCAGAATGCAGCTTCATCTCTTTTGAGCAAACATTTGTAGAATCGTCCCGTAATGGTGCCAGACTTCTGTGCCACTACTTCATCTAAACTAAATATCTACTACAAAAATTACATAACCGAGTATATCAAGTCAATATAACTGCAAAAACCAACTTCCTATAGCACAAGCAAGCGTAAGGATAGTGAAGAACACAGCATAACGAGGTCTTGCAAATAACAATGGTGTTAGCCTGCCTAGGCTAGTGATCACCCGCCAACCGAATTGGTACTTTCGCTCGATCCGGCTAACTTTACCCATGATATGTAACTTGAGCTGATACTAGTGGTC